GTTGTTTGTGATTATGGTTTTTGAATGTTTATGAATTATGATTATATGATGTCTTCTAAGTTCTACTGTTTTCTATAAAGTTAGTTTCTACTTTCTACTTTCTACTGTCTTCTATGATACATCAAGGGATAGTGGACACAGAACCTCCGACAGCTAATACTAATAGAGTTAATGAATAAATTAAATACCTACTATTACATAAATCACATCCAGAGTTTTTTCTATGCATGAACCTATTTTTTTAGATTTTTTAGAATTTTTTGATATTCATTGACAACATTAGGATGAAGCACTCAGATCTGGACCGCATTAGTCCCTCGATCTTAGCTAGCAGTGAACTTCCTTCTCTCAATAATGTGTACTCACGTGTTCAACAAGTTACTATATCTACTGCCATGTTAAGTGATGGATCTGCCTTGACTGCCACAATGGGCAGAGGTGACGGTAGGGGCCGTGGTGGTGATAATTAAGGATGCGGCCATGATTTAGGGGGAGGTCCTGGTAGAGGTTGTGGAAACAGGAAGTGCACCCACTATAGATGGACCAATTATACGACTGAAAAATGTTGGGATCAGTTTGGTAAGCCTGCTTGGGCTAATCAGGCAGCCTATGTTTTTGAGAGTGATGAAATACATACACTTGGCTCCAGTAATCACAGTTTGGCTCTTAATTCTGCTAGAGATTCAGTTTTACTCTTGTGGGAAGAATATGATAAGCTAATCATGAATAGTCAACAACCAACCACCTACTCATCTGACCTCTTCCATTGCCATTCAGGCAAATACAGGCACTTCTACATTTCTTGCCTCTCAGAGGCCATTTCCATGTGCCGTTAATTCAGGAGCCTCTGATTATATGACTAGCGAGTCTTCTCTATTTTCTTCTCTCAATCAATTAGATCCACTGCATTTGTTACATTGGCTGATGGTTCTTTATCAAGTGTGTCTAGGAAAGTCATTGTTTGTCCTACTTCAGTTTCATTGTCATCTATTCTCTATGTTCCAAAGTTTCCACTTAGTTTGTTGTCAATCAGTAAATTAACCAAATCTCTTCAATGTTCAGTGACTTTCTATCCTTCACATTGCATTTTTCAGGATTTAAAGACGAAGAAGATGATTGGTGGTGGTCGTGAGTCTAGAGGAATCTACTATCTTGATTGTAGTCTTGTTGGTGCTGCTCTTCATTCCAGTATTTCTCTCCTTCAATGGCATTGCCAGCTTAGTAATCCATCTAGCAATAATCTGAAGTTATTAGTTCCTTGATTAGAGTCTTTGTCAACCCTAGGGTGTGAGGCTTGTGAGTTAAGCAAGCATCATATGATTACCTTTCACCCAAGAGTCAATAAACGAATGTTTATTCCTTTTGCAGTCATTCATTCAGATATTTGGGGTCTTGCTAGAGTTCAGAGTTTATTACAGATACTTTTTAATTTTTGTGGATGCTTTCTCTCAGGTGACATGGATCTATTTAATGACAGACAGGTCTGAGGCATTGTCTATTTGACAATTGTTTTATAAAGAAATTGAGACTCAGTTTGGAAAGAATGTTTGTATTTTGCAGTCAGATAATGCTAGAGAATATTTATCCCAAGATTTTCGGCAATATTTAACGACACATGGTATTTTGCATCAGACATCATGTGCACACATCCCTCAACATAATGGGATAGCAGAGAAGAAAATTCATCATATAATAAAAGTAACTTGTGCTTTGCTGTTAAATATGCCCATGCCAAAAATTTATTGGGGAGACGTTGTATTAACTACTTGTTATTTGATAAATCGCATGCCTTTCTCTGCTTTAGAAGGAAAATCACCACACTCTTTGCTCTTTCCTGATAGACTTTTATTTATAATTCCTCATTGAATTTTGGGTGTGTGTGTTTTTTTTATGTTCTGGGCCCTGATATTAACAAATTAAGATCATTGATATGTTAAATGTGTGTTTTTAGGATATTCTCGTATACAAAAAGGTTATTGATACTATCATCCGGGTTTGAAGAAAAAGTTTGTTTGTGCTGACGTTACCTTTTCTGAGAATAGCCCATATTTTTCTAATGAAGGGAAAATGATTGAAATTGACTCAAGCGACCTAAGTGAAGAATTTGCATGATGGAAAGTTCATTCCTCCTTCCTCTTCTATTTCCATTCCTGTCGCGGATCCTATTTCTTTTGATGACCCTCTTGCATCACGTCAAGTGTCTACTCATGAAGAGTTTGTTTCTCCTCCTATTTCTAATATTTCACAGGAGTAGTCCTACAAAGTATATTATGAGGAAGAAAGTGAAGGAAGTGTCATCCCCACCAGCTCAGCCAACCAATCAATCTTCATTTTCGTCTACGGATCCTATCTTTGTTCAAGAACCCACTCCTGGGCATGATAATGTTGATCTTCCGTTAGCACTTCGTAAAGGTCAGCGGTCTTGTACCAAACATCCAATTGCTCATTTTGTTACATTTTGAGAAACTGTCTTCTTCCTATATGAAATTTTGCCTCAGGTCTTTACTCCATTTTTGTACCCAAGGCCTGTCAAGAAGCTCTTTCACATTTTGGATCGAAGAAACAATGGATGAGGTAATGGTTGCACTTCAATCAAATGATGCTTACTGATATGTAGGCAGGAAAAAGACCGGTTGGATGTCATTGGGTGTACACAGTTAAATATCAGCCAGATGGATATGTGGAGAGGTTAAAAGCCAGGCTAGTGGCCAAGGGGTATACACAAACCGTTGGTATTGACTAGTCTAAGACATTTGCACCAGTAGTCAAGCTTAATTCGGTCCAAGTGCTAATATCTGTAGCAGCAAATAAGGGGTCAGCAACTGTGGCAACTTGATGTTAAGAACACCTTCATGGTGATCTACAAGAAAAGGCATATATGGAGCACCCACCAGGGTTTGTTGCTCAGGGGGAGTTAGACAAAGTATGCAAGTTGAGGAAAGCAATTTATGAATTGAAGCAGTCCCCACGTGCATGGTTTGAGAAGTTTAGAAAAATTGTTATGGCATATAGGTTTCAAAGGAGCATGTGGATCATTCAATATTTATTTGGAAACAATCCAATGGAATTTTTATCTTGGTGGTTTATGTTGATGATATCATTATTATATGGAGTGATCAAGAAGGAATTAATAAATTGAAAGATTATCTGCAATGGTATGTTCAGACAAAAGATTTAAAACAATTGAGGTATTTTCTAGGAATTGTGGTAGCCAGGTACCTGTATGGTATCAGTTCGTCTCAAAGGAAAAATGTAACAAATTTGTTGACAGAGACAGGAATGTTAGGTGCTAAGCCAATTGATACACCTATAGATCCAAGTATGAATCTGTCAATGGATCATGGAGATTTGTTAGAAGACCGTAGCAGATACAGAAGGCTTGTAGGAAAACGTATCTGCCTTACAATCAATCAGAAAGACATAGCCTTTGGTGTGAGAGTAGTGAGTCAGTTTATGCATCCCCCCAGAACACCACATTACAAAGTCATAAAAAGGATTTTGAGATATTTGATGGGGACTCCAGGTCGAGGACTCATCTACAGGAAGAATGTTTTAGTATTGACAGCTATTCTGATGCTGATTGGGTAAGATCCCAATCAGACAGAAGATCTACTAGAGGCTATTATTACCTTTGTTGGAGGAAATTTGGTGACTTAGAAAAGCAAGAAACAAAGTGTGGTAACAAGAAAAGCAAGAAACAAAGTGTGGTAACAAGGCCTAGTGCAGAGGCTGAGTATAGATCATAGCTCCCACTGCATGTGAGCTGATGTGGTTGAAAACCTTGATGAAGGAAATGAGATTTTTGATTACTGAGCTGTGACAATCAGGCAGCCATATATATTGCTAGCAACCCAGTTTTTCATGAGAGAACAATATATATTGAGATTGATTACCTTTTTATTCAGGAGAAAGTGACAAGTACGCGGATAACCACTTCAAGGATCAATTGGCTGATACATTTACTAAGGCTCTTAGCCATAACCAGATTCAGCAGATTTGCTCTAAGCTTGGCAGGGGTGATATCTATACTCCAGCTTGAGGGGGAGTGTTAAAGATTAAAACATTATGAGGTTATGAGTGTTGAATTTAGCACGGGTGTCTTTGTTATTTTTATAAACTTTAGGACATTAGGTTTTGGTAAAGTACTTAAAGGGCATTTCTATGATATTATCATCCAATTACTATAAATAAAGTTTAAGAGGTGCATGTGGGCTGTGCAATCAGTTTATGCACCTCTCTCTCTCTCTCTTATCTTTCATCTTTTCTCTCCTCTTTCTTTCCCTCTTCTTTTTCCTTTCTCTCTCTGGTTTTTACTGTTTACAGCACTGTTCATGACACTGTTCATAGTACTGTTCATGGCACTATATACAATACTGTACAATAACTATTAGAGCAAGATATCCACGTGTGTACCACCAAGTCACAAATGTTGTATCTGTGAACCATCTGTTGAGGTTTCCTATGAAATGAGGCATGGAATGGAGCCATTACAAAGTTTTGGAAGTTACAAAGGAAGCTTTGGGCCCATATTGGTCATGGGTTGAGAAGAGGAGTTGAACTCTGTGAGATCAATCTCCCATTGTTCCTTAGTAGCTCAGTGGTAGAGAGGTCAGCCATATCAATTGATATCTCTTGATATCTCATATAGTCTAATCAAAGGATGCTATCTTTTCCCAACCAATTTTTTGGATTCTCGTAATGATATAGTTATAAGAGATGGTGTATTATCACTACTCTATTTTGGCAGCCTAATTGCAAATTAAAGGAAAAAAGAAAAGAAAATGAAGGAAATAGGGAAAAAAGGAATAGAAATAACTAAACACAAATTTGGCAAACATCACAAACAACTGGCTAGAGAGTGGATGATATACTCAAGGTTCTCCACTATAGATCAGTAATACAGAAGATAGATCAGAATAACCTCACCTAATGATCACAATATGTTAATGACAATATGAAAATGATTCACACATTAAAAATCTTCAGGATCAGTAACTCACCTTCCAGACAGGTGAACGGTTTTATCTCCATTTCCTGATGCAACTGTGGTCTTCTCTATAGGAAGTATGATAGTCATGTTTGGAAGTTTTGCACCTGTCAAATTGTCAAAAGCAATATGAGAAAAATAAGAATAATCACAACACACGAACGTACTGTACAAGAGCCAAAAGCTGTCTATTAAGCAAGATAGCTCTTAGACAAACGTTGCCAGTGAAGTGCAAATGCCATATTCCATCAATAAAAGAAGAAAAACATGATTGTTAACTTCATCAAAAAAAAAGAAGAAGAAAAACATGAATACTAATGAAAAACGAGAAAAGAAAAAAAAGAAACAATAAAATAAATTAGATTGACCAGTATGAACAACATTACCAGCAGCTAGCCGATGTTTGAGACCCTTAAGAACAGTTAAAAAGTACACCTGTCCATTTTTGAGAGACTCAATCAGTCGAATGGAAAAATAACAGCAACAACATTTGCTCATAAAAACTGAAGTTATCAGTTCTATGGACATCCATCACGAAGCATGCACAAGTATTGCATGGAACATGAGGAATAAATACAAGTGTCATTGTCTGAGCACATGGATATGGTGTACACATGCTGTGTATCCATGTTGCATGTATGCTTTACAGTTCAACTTCGTAACAATAGAATTCTGCATCCAGAATTAAAAGCACATATGTACTATGAACCTGGATCAGAAGAAATGTTGGTACCAGAGGTCCTAACTCATGGCGTGCTAGAGAGAGAGAGAGAGGGAGGGAGATGGAGAGAGAGACAATTGTGGAGAGAGAGACTCTTCATAATTGATGGTGCGGAACAGGAGGGGGATGTGTTCTAGTGTGTGGAGGGGCATTTTACAACTCATAATCCTTTTAATTCCTTGTTGCTCTTCATATTATGTATTGAAACCTGGGGCATTTTAGGGGGTTGTACTACCTGATTTGTGAAGGCTCCAGGGTGTATTTCCTTAATTCCTTTTTTTAAAGAATTTTTGGGCCAAGTTACCTAAAAGAGAGTAATCTAACTATATTATGTTAAAAATAAAAAATGGATGAACCATTCCAAATCAAGATACAAGAAATGAAAGCAAACATAGTTCAAGTCAGTAAGATGCTGAAAACAGCATCTTCTTGCTGCTGTTTCATGTACTGGGTTATGCTAATTTTAATAGAAATTGAATGTTAGAGATAATAAAATAAGAAAACATAGGAAAGAGAGGCATACAAATATACCGCAAGTTTCATATATTTTCCAAGAAAAGTATATTATTCTACTGGTTTCTTTATTGGAAAAAACACCTAATTATGGCCAATATATGGGATCGTGTAGATAGCAAAAATTTCTTACTGAACTCTTAACTTTTCATAAGTTTGCATTCTCTTTCTTAATCTACAATCCAGAAATGGTTTAGGTGAATAACACGAATATTTTTTCCACAGGCTGTCATATAATGAAAACAGTGTCAGATTCACTGGAACATTTGACACAATGGCCCATCATTTCTAAAACAGTTTCCCAAGCCCATTTTCAATTAATGCTCCTCCCTTGAGATCTGGCTATTGAAGTAAAAGGTCATATTGTGTAGTATGACGTGGGGTACAGAAGATGCTATTGATCATGTCATGGTCATGATTATGAATCCTTCAAAGTCTTGAGTCTCAAGAAGTATGACAAAGAAATGTGCTAAAGAAATGAGATCACTTACAAACGATATAGGTCCAATAAAATAAAGCACAAGACAATCATATAATAAAAAACTAATCACAATGAAGCAGTAAGAAGCACATTTGAAGACTATTACTCAGCTATGCCTGTTGTATGAGGTGAACAGGCATTACTGGATCCACAAATTACAGATTAGATGTTTGGTAACATTCCTGTAAATATTAAGCATCTCTACAGAGGAAAACAACATGAATTGAGTTTCTGTCTACTACTGGATAGGAATCAGAATGTAAGTAGACAACGGCTTTAAATTCGTAAAAGTTCAGCAGCACACATAGCCAACAGAAGAATTGGATTGTTGAAAGCAATGCAAATTCTAGCACCCAGTGATGCCTACAAACCTGTAAAAAGTATCCTTTGTTCCATGTCCCAACAAGAAACAAACTCACCTCAGCTGTATGAATCCGTAACATCCTCGTATCAACAATTATGGGGCTGCTTTTGAAAGAGACACCAGGAACAACTCCAAGTGATGCAGCTTCCTTCAATCAAGGCAATCATTTCAGTATACATCACAACTATGAGATGCCTTGATGCTCCTCAGATCTCAAAGGGTTAAAAGACAACCGAATTTAGAAGCATTGATATTTGCAGTTCCACACTTGCCTCAAGTAGGGAGAAGGCACGGGGGTCGTATTCCCCAAATCCATCTACTAATGAACATACATTTGGGCATCTCAAAACATCAATGCTAATTCCTTGATTATCTAGAAGACTATTTCTCAACACAGGATCATAAGGTATCTGAAGACATCCCAAAACCTGTGAAAAAACTTCCATAGTTGGTATGATACCAGCTGAAACTGTTTCACGATAGACCATTAATGCCCATGATGTCCTGCCATAAAAGAGAAAACCATAATTACCCAATTTGCTTGAACATAACTTCCTCACGTACAAGGTACATCTATTAAAACAAGCTTCAACACAAATCAGATGGCATCAGATAATTAAGCAGTATATTTCTTGTGTAAATGATAACTGAGAAGTAATATGCATGCAAAAATAGATCACAAGAGAGTGTGTTCAACAATCCTCTTGTAAAGCAGTTTCCAGATGATTATTTTATAACATATTTTACTTTATAAACTGAAAAAGGGATATTACGCATCAATAAAACAAATAAAGATTACTAAAGATACTTCAACTAAAGAGACAATCGCAAGGAAGTGAACACTACAAAAATGCAACAAATCTATACTTATCCTATCAAAAATTTGAAGTGAGACAGACCTCTGCTACCCACGACCACACAAAATTCATTCTTTTTGGATGGCATGTAAGTTTCTGTGTTTCACAATAAGTACCATACGGCTTATATATAGGACGTCTCAACTGTGACGAAGTTCGAAGCTCAAGACTGATGGGATTTCTTTCTTGTCCCTTGTGCAGTCTACATTTTCTTGGGGCTTCTATGCAATTCTATGTTTGTTCAAAGATAATACAGTCATATAGAAAAAGTAAACACGCAAAGGTCTTAGAAACATATACACAGATTTCCAGCTCAACTCTCTTCTTCACTCAAACCTTGAATTCTTCTCTAAGATGTGCACTGCATGAAGTGGTCTCAACATGTTTGCATGAGAATAAGAATGTCAAGATGCAAATTCAAAGTTCGAACTGCTTTGCTCTATTATGTGGATCAGTTAGAAGGATCACCTAAAAGGGAACAATTCTGAAGCCACATTTTATGGGTAGGATAACTTAGAGGATATCCAGCAGGGTTTCTGTTATTCTTTTGATAAATAGATCCAGTAGACTTTCTAAGATGTCAAAGGACAATACGTTCTGATTTATGAGCCTGATAAGCATGCAAGGGTGAGGTAGGTATGAGTTTATAAGGTGGAAAACAACGTTTCACATTGTTCCATCTATAAAGATAAAATCAGATTCATTCTCTGAAGGCACCTTTTGCCATGAGCATCTTAATTAGTAAAGGAAAATGTGTTAGCTAGGTGCTGGTTTTTGTGAATGTTGAATTTTATACTCTATTTAAGTCCGTAAGGACTTATGTGTCTTTTTCATCACTTAAAAAACGCCTTGTATAATAGTAAATAATAGGGAAAATTTTAGATAACCCTCTAATTTCAACTTTCTACACATCCTACCTTTCAATACTTTTTGTATTATATCCTGAACCCCAGCCCTATTTTATCTTGTGTTTACCCCTCCAAGTCAAATAGTCAAAGCATTTTGAGATCAAAATGCTCTTTTTCCCACTCTCTTCCCCTTTTCAAATACTTTTTTATATTCTCTCTCTCACTCTCTCTCTACTTACACAAAAGAAACACTCTCTCTC